AATAATATGTTACTTGCATTCTTTCATGTGATTCAAATATTTCATACTTTAAAAAAAATTTTTTTTAAGATTTTATTTATTTGAGAGAGTGAGCGAGAGAGATACACAAGCAGGGGCAGAGGGAGAGGAAGGGGAGGTGCAATCTCCCCAGCTAAGCAGGGAGGCTAACTTGGGGCTTGATCCTAGGACCCTGGAATCATGACCTGAGCCGAAGGCAGGCACTCAACCGACTGAGCCACCCAGGCGTCCCTATTTCATACTTTTTTAAAAGAAGAAAAAAATCTACTTTAATCACGGTGTCCCCTTGATCATTCTAGATGGAATTCATACTGCTTCCTCAATTCCTATTACCCAAATAACCTATTTAATCTTGCTGCATATTATAGCTATATATGCACTTGTCTTTCTTACTGATTATGAACTTATGAAGACAAGGGATTATGCTTTCCCCCTTTTTATTCCCATTCATGATATGAAGCACAATACCTTGCACATAGTAGATACTCAGTAAATGTTGATTGATTACTGAAGTCACAGGAGACAAGGGCAAACCACAAAGGAGAAAGCTATGCTATTTATATTTAAAGCTGAAAAAGAACTTAATTAGTCATCTAGTGGCTTTTCTACACTTTGCAGCTAAGAAAATTGAAGTTTAGAGAAGTAAAGTGATTTTTTTCTTCTAAGTCATATAACTAATTATCAGTATTACAAACTATAATAGATTCAGGTCTCTAGTTTGTGTCCTTAGCTCTTCACATTATATCACAATGACTTTTTTTTTTTAGACATTATGTGAGAGAGAGAAAGAGAGCATGAGTGGGGAGGAAGGGTAGAGACAGAGGGAGAAAAGCAGTCTCGCCACTCAGAAGGGACTTGATCCCAGGACCCTGGGATCATGACCTGAGCCAAAGGCAGATGCCCGACAAGTGAGCCACCCAGTCACCCCACATTATATCACAATGACTTTTATTTTCTGTGTTGTCTGTGTGTGTTCCTTGACTTGGAAGCTACCAAAAGGCATGCACCAAATCTATGTTTACACAGATACTTAATCATAGTTTCTAGATAAGTGTGTAGGACCTATACAAATTTATCATACAAATTCAAAGGAATCTAGTTTCTTCTCCAGCAAAAATTTGGCTGTCTTGCCACCAACTTTCCCACTGATCCCTCCCTCAGAAGCCTGGATACTAACGATTCTTTCCCTCCCTCCATCTAGTGTTTTCTTCCTCCAGGAATACGCAGGTTTACTGATGGCTCACAGTCCGGCTCTTCTGGGGAACTGATTTAGCAAGAGAAGTAGGAAATCCATCAGTCAGTGCCCATCAGCCCCAGGTGCTTGAAATTAACAATCGCAAATAGAGCTCAAGACTTCAGAACAGTCCTTGTTGAGGTCCCTGACTGGCTGAGTCAGAAGAACATTCGACTCTTGATCCTGGGGTCATGAGTTTGAGCCCCACATTAGATGTAGAGATTAGTTTAAAAAAAAAAAAAAACAACACTTTAAAAAAATAGTTCTTATTGGCAGTGCCTTCGCACTCCAACTTGTACACAAGTACCTATTTAACAGAAAGAAAGAATATCCTAGAAAGTTAACCCTGGAGAGAACCTTAAAAATCACCTACTTTTCTCCCTGATTTTTCCAAGTGAGGAAATTGGAGTTTTGAGATATGAAGTAACTTGCAAAGTTAATTCAGGTCATTAGTAGCAAGGCTGGGACTAGACTCCCAGTTTCCTGCTTCCAGGACAGCTGTTCTTTCTATGTCACGTCCTGGTGACATGTGCATCTAGCAAAACACATCATAAAGTAGCCTCATCTTAAGCCATCAGGAGTGAAAAATAAATTATTCAAACCCTTCCTCTTCTCTCTGGCAATTTTTTTCCTTTGCCTTTCTCTGTGTCCTACTCTCTCTCTCTTTTTATCCTTCTAATGTTTCTGAGAATCCATCTCTCTGTTTGGGGTTTCAAACTGAATTGTAGCACGCCTGCATGATTCCTTTGATTTTTCTTTTCTAAGCTATTGTTTCCCGTCCAAAGACAAACATGCATAAGCCAATCAAGACTCTTCTTGACCTTTATGGAAAATAACACTCAATTTCTATATGAAAGGTGCTGGACCTCCCTCCTAGCCTATCCAGTCAATTAAAATGAGTCTCTGGCCCCCCTGAGAGCTGTTAACCAATCCTAAGAAAGAAAAGATCAATCTCATTTCTCCGTCACCACTGTGCAGGGAGGCTGCTAACCAGTGAGAATGTGCCACTAACAGTCATTAGAAAAACTGGCCAATCAGGCCAGCCTTGTTACATGGTCTGGTAGGAAAAGAAAGGGATTGATTGGAAAGGATAGTCTGGCTCCACACCCTTTCCTTCCTGGATCCTAGTTTTCCCTCGCTGATGTGGTGGAAGGGCCCTTTCCCAAACCGAGTTAAAAAGATCCCTAAGGCCCTTCGCTAACTCTCTTTTGCTGTCTTCCAATTCACCCCTCTCTCACATACCTCAGCCAGTTTTTGCAGTCTCACTGTTCCCCTACTGATTTAATTTCTGACTTCAGGCCTGGCCACAATAGCCAGCCTCCCCCACTCTCAGTCCTCCCCCACAGATCTCTCTATCCACCGAGCTGTCAAAGAACCTGTTTTGCATGATTTATGAGGGTGAAAAAGTTCAGTATGTCATAGTTGAGTCTCAGGAGATACCACTGCAGGGATCTTCCAATCAAGTCTCCAGGAAGCAGTGCAGAATCCGAATTGCAATGCTTTCAGCTGTAATGATAATCACAACAATAACAATAACTGGTATTATTATTACTATCATTTATTGAACTCTCACTGAGTTCCAAGTACTTTGCTAAAAGCTTCACATATATTATCCCAATATTCGCTGTGGGGTAAGCACTATTATTACTCCAAATGTGCATAGCAAGAAATCGATTTAGAGGGGTTAAACAGCTTCCCCAAGGTCACAGCGATCTGGGAACCCAGGCTGGTGTGAATCCAGAGCCCAGCACCGAATGGGGGAGGGGGGTAAGGGAGAATTAAACGCCACAGGCTTTAAGAACTTCAGCTTCCTCAGGGGCCCCTTCTGCAATCTTCCTTTGGGATAGTTCGCGATATCCAAGAGGGGGTCTAAACTGTCGCAACAAACAGCTACAACGGTTTGGCGGTGGCGCCTAAGAACTGCGGACTTTTTTTTGCCTGGGAGGCCGCGAAGCCGAGAGCTGAAAGGATTTCGGGAGGGGGTGTGCGGGAGAGCGGGAGTGTCCGGGGCCCTTAGGGGATATCCTTGCCCGCCCGTCTTTCCTTTCCCCTCACAGCACCTTATACCGTGCCTGGCACCGCTTGGTACTTGGTAAATACCTGTTGATTGCCTCCCAACGATCCCAGCTCCTTTCTTCGCCTATTCCACCCCCCTCCCCATCTCGAGTCAACAACTGGAACTGAAGGGATATTTGGGAATTTCCGGGAAACCAGCGAGAACCCTCACCGAGCTGGAATCGTGGATTTAGGAAAGGCGGGAGGTCCCCCACCCTTCTCTCCTCACCCGCGTCTCCGATTTCTCCCCACTCCTTCCCCTCCCTTTCAGGAGCTCAGGGCCATAAAAATGCAGATGGAGGATCGGTGTGAAATAACGGGCCCATATAAATCCCTCTGCCGCCCGCCTGCAAGATGGATTGGCCGCATTGAAATTCCTCCGCGAGGATAATTAAACTCGGGGCCTCATCCGGGCAAAATTACATTCCTGTAATGGCGTCGCTCGGGGTCCCGGGAAATTGCTCCGTGGGCTTTCAGCGGCGGTTTTTATCGCCGGCCGGGGTGTGCCTGGCTGCGGCTCGCCTCTCCTCCGGGACCGTAAAGCTGCTGCCGTGATTTATCCTCCCCTTCTCCCAAATCCGATTAAATGGAGGAGCTCGGGGCCGGGGCGCCGCGGGGCCTGGGAGCCGGGAGGGGGCGGCGGGAAGGACGGGGCCAAGGAGGGGAGGACAAACGGCCCCTCAGAGGGTGGCGGATTTGGCTTTATTTACAGCCGCGGCTTTCTTTTTATTTTTTATTTTTTATGGGGGTTTGGTGAGCTTTCCCCGTCCTTCTCGAGCCGCGTTCAAGCACGATGCCTGGATGGCTGGGGTTTGGACATGAGGGGAAGTGGATAGGCCTTGTCGCCTTCCTTCCAAGGGAGCGGCTCGTCGCCTGTCTTGGGAGACAAAGAGGCCTAGAGGATGGGATGAGGGCCGGGAACCCCCCACCCCTACTGCTTTCCATCCGGGAAAGAAAGAGCCAAAGGGCACGAGGGAGAAGCCGAAGGGCTTCCATGAGAGCATCTCGCGGGAGGACGGCTTATCTCAACTCCCACAGATGGAGTCTGGGCAGAGGCAGGGGCATGCCTGCGGTGACCTCACAACCTCACTACAGGTCCCTGGTGCCCACTATTCCTTGACTGTCTCAGGACTCCGGAAAGAAGGCTTAGTGTCAGGGCGCTTGAGTCACCATCATCATTAGCCCCTATCTTGTGGTTCGGTGATGCTGGTTTCCTCATTCCTGGCTGATCATTAGAATAAGAAAGAGGGAGAGGGAAATAAAGGTGAGGCCACCCCAGGCAGCTGGGGCATTTTGCTCACTATTCGCCCACTGAACGGGTTTCCAGTCCATAAGGTCAGGGTCCCTGGGCGACAGAAGGCAGGAGTGCCATGACTTTTAATTTTCCTTCTGCTACATTTTGGACACAGACCCCCCCCCCATCTCGATGTATGTTATTTAACACTGAATTTCTGGTGTGTGGGGGTTTGGGGTTGGCAATGTGACTGCACATGCTGGGAAAGGGTACACGATCCCAAACGCTGAGGGGACCAAACCGCAGGCCACGTTACGGATCGGTTTACACTAGAGAGTCGTCCACGTTTCTGCACAGGGTCGGCTCTGCCTGCAGTTTCTCCTCTCAAACACCAGGTGGAGCAACTGGCCGAATGCCGCCACAAAGCTGGCAGGCGGCGCTGTGGCGCCTGGGCCGACCCTCAACGTTGCAATCACTCTATCCTTAGCAGAGCGTCTCGTTGGTCCGGGCCGCGCATGCGCTGAACCTTCCTTTTGCTCTTCCCGCCCCCCCTCGACACTCCCCCCGCCCTCTCTGTCTCCTCGGCCCTGGGAGCAGGTAAGGCTTTGGGCCCTCGCGCCCGCAATGCGCCGCGCACGCGCGCGGAACACCCTACCTCGCACGAGTCCTTTGAGGCCCTTACCTTGCATGCGCCCACCCTGGTCCTCACGCCCGCCTTTGATCCTGGTATTCCCGCGCCTTAGGGCTGCCTCTTCCGCGTGCCGGTGACCTCCAACCGCGCGGGCCTGGCGCCATCTTGGATGTCTCGTGGGAGGGGGGAGGGAAGAGCGCTCTGGAGCTGGCGAAAATCAAATCCCAGAGCGCTCTGTTCACCTGTTCCACGCGGTTCCTGCGAGGTTCTTTTCTCCCTCTTGTCAATTCAGAGTTGTCACAAACCCCGGACTCTCCCTTCCTGTCTCAGTTTTTTCTTCTTATCCTGACTCGTTGTCTCCTTATCGTGCAACCTCCAGACTTGGCCCCAGGACCTCAGCTGCCCAAGCAATGGAGATAGCTGATAGTCCTTTAAAAGTAATCGTGGACATGGTAGAACAAAGCCAAAACACCCTCTCCATTCAGACTGTGGCCTAGGAGAGCTGTGGCAGAGAAGAGAAACCAGTTTCTTTGGAACCATCGGTTGTCTTGCAATACCGTTCTCTTCCTCCATCCAAGGGAAGTTGGAAAAAACGGAAGTGGTGGGCTAATAGCAAGGTTTTCTATTAAAGGCAGCAGGCCCGAAAAAGTCGTGGGGGGCCCATCGGTGGTCTTCTCTTGTCAGCTTTTCTGTCAAGGGTATACTGAGTCCCCAGACTCTGCTCTCATGGGGGAAAAGAAGATTTAAGGAAAGGAGTGGTTAAGTCAACAGCCCCTCTAACTCTGTGACTGATCACGGAGGAATAAACCTGTGATGATTTAGGCCCACTGATTCTGGATGATGCTGTTGTCTGGAGTGTTGTAGGCTAACAACTGCAGACTTGCCGCAATTAGGTGACCAGTGGAGGCATCAGCACTTCATGCAGTCTCCCGTAATTGCCACCCTTTTGTTGTGGGTTTGTTACATGTCAGCACCACATTAAACTCTACATGTTACTTAATTTACGCCCCCCAACTATGTTCTGTATGATGATGTTGAGGTGTAATTGCCTTGGGGGGAAAACAGATAGTATTTATTTACTTATTTATTACATTTTAAACAAGCTCTACACCCAAGGTGGGGCTTGAACTCAAAATCCAGGAGTTGCATGCCTTACTGACAGCCAGCCAGGTGCCTAGTGCTTTTTTTTTTTTTTTTTTTTTTTATTAACATACAATGTATTATTAGTCCCAGGGGTACAGGTCTGTGAATCGCCACATTTACGCACTTCACAGCACTCACCATAGCACATACCGTCCCCAGTGTCCATAACCCACCCACCCTCTCCCTGTCTCCCTCCCCCCAGCAACCCTCAGTTTGTTTTGTGAGATTAAGAGTCTCTTACAGTTTGTCTCCCTCCTGATCCCATCTTGTTTCATTTTTTCCTTCCCTATTCACCAAACCCCCCCCACGTTGCCTCTCAAATTCTTCATATCAGGAAGATCATATGATAATTGTCTTTCTCTGATTGACTTATTTCGCTCAGCATAATACCCTCTAATTCCATTCACGTGGTTGCAAAAGGCAAGATTTCATTTCTTTTGATGGCTGCATAGTATTCCATTGTATATATACACATCTTCTTTATCTATTCATCTGTTGATGGATATCTAGATACTCTACAGAGTTTGGCTCTCTCTTTTTTTTTTTTCTTTTAAAGATTTTATTTATTAGAGCATGGGTGGGGAGTGAGAGGGAGAGGAAAAGAATCTCAAGCAGACTCATCCCTCAGCTCAGAGCCCCTTGTGGGGCTCAGTCCCATGACCCTGAGATGGTGACTTGAACCCAGACCAAGAGTGGAGCACTCAACTGACTGATTCACCCAGCACCCCACCCCCAGTCCTCCTTTCTTTTAAGTTTTAGGGAAATTTTGGCTTTTGACCGAATTTATAGTCTGCCGCAAAATTGGGTTAGAGTTATGTATGGGCAGTTGGAGAAAGGACAAGAGTTGAAGCCACCGATTAATCTAAAAATGACTGATTCTGGATTCAGAAGGGTAATGTGGAAAAATCTTGAGTACAACTCATTTAAGGAAGTGTTATTTAACAGGTTTAAGTAACCCCTGAGTATTTCAACCTGTAGCATATTAGGAAGCATTAACTTAAGTGTGAGAAAATGTCAAGTCCTGACTCTACCACTACCATCATTAGTGGGTTTTTTTTTTAAATATTTTATTTATTTATTTGATAGAGAGAGATCACAAGTAGGCAGAGAGGCAGGCAGAGAGAGGGGGAAGAAGCAGGCTCCCTGCTGAGCAGAGAGCCCCATGCGGGGCTCAATCCCAGGACCCTGAGATCATGACCTGAGCCGAAGGCAGAGGCTTTAACCCACTGAGCCACCCAGGCGCCCCAACCATCATTAGTGGTTTTAAGGCCATGCTGTCAGTGTACCTAACAATCACTTGAGAAGCTTGTTTGAAGTAATAGGACACTTGGGCCTTATATCCAGAGATCATGATCAGGACAGTCTAAAGTGGGACCTGAGTATGCAGAATTTTTTGAATATGCATTTATTTTATTCGGTTTTTTTGAATATGCATTTGTTGTTGTTGTTGTTGTTTTATAAAACATTTTATTTATTTATTTGAGAGAGAGAGAGACAGTGAGAGAGAGCATGAGCGAGGAGAAGGTCAGAGGGAGAAGCAGACTCCCCGCGGAGCTGGGAGCCCGATGCGGGACTCGATCCCGGGACTCCAGGATCATGACCCGAGCCGAAGGCAGTCGCCCAACCAACAGAGCCACCCAGGCGCCCTGAATATGCGTTTTTAATACATAGATCATCCCTACCCTCAAGTAACTAGTTCTTGTGGGCCTCTCAGGGAAATCTTTTTGTAGGTCTTTAACTCAACCACTCTTCTCTTAAATAACTTCATTTCTGCAAACTTAGGGCACCTATAGGGTGTCAGCATTGTTTTAGATCTTGAGCATACAAAATTGAATGCCACTTAGGGTGGTGGTGAAAATGAATACTTTAACAATCATGGCTAACTACGATAATGGGAGGATTCCTCACTGATCTGCCTCACTCTGTTAATTAATGTAGGAAATTGAAGTGTTTTGAGGAACCCAATAACTTCCAGATAACTAGGTTCAGTAAAAAGATGATTGGAGATCCTTCCAGGGTCTTGGACTTCAACAAACAACTCTTAAGAGTCTTTAAAGGGCAACTGTTTCTATCCTGGACAATAAAATCTTTAGAAGAGTTCCTTTTGAATAGAGACTGAGGAAAACTTAGGCTGAGGACACAGGAACTTCTCTGAAGACACCAACTCACGAGCTGTGGAAATGAGTAACAGGTCTTAAATTTAAGACCAAGTGGCTACTTGTCCAGACTAGTGGGAGTCACTTGATTATAAGGAAATCTTAGAAACTGTGTGGAGGAAATCTTGACTTCAAGGTTTTGATTCCATCTCTGCTAATGACTTGAGGTCATTCACTCTGCTCTCTGGGCCATTTAAATTTTCCAGAGCACCTTTTCTGCTAATTAAGATCTCCTTTGATGAATAAGGACAACGTTTACAATTCTACTTCTGTAATTTTCAGCTCTCCTGCCGCAGCCCCTCATTCCCTGAAAATGTACACCTGTGCAAAGTTCGTCTCCACCCCGTTCTTGGTGAGTGCCTGCCTTTTCTGAGACAGTTAAGTAGGGGGGATCTTTTTTCTTCCTTGCCACACCTTGGTCTTCACAGTTGGGCTGGGGGAAGGTCCTTTGCTATGTTAGCCTGACAACAGAGTGAATGCTTACCAGACACCCCCCATCTCAGATCCCTTGGAAGCCAGTTAAATCTTTTCATCCAACCATATTAGAAGATTGAAAATGAGAATCTAGGCTAAGATCGGGTTATTTCTGTCCTAAAACTGTGTTCCTGTAAACTGGAACCCAACTGGAAATAGCCTAACTTTGACCTCTGGGAGCTGAAATTTGAATGGCAAGTTAAATCACATGTAAATACACATTGGAAAAAATACGTGATTCAGAAGCAACAGAGTGGAAGAAATTGTGGATTATTTTTTAAAAAGATTTACTATTTATTTTAGAGGGGAAGAGAGAGAAAACAAGTGGGAAGGACAGAGGAAGAGGGAGAGAGAATCTCGACTCTCCACAGAGTGCGGAGCCTGATGCAGGGATTGATCTCACAACCCTGAGATGATGACTTGAGCTGAAAACAAAAGTTGGATGCTTAACTGGCTGTACCACCCAGGCGTCCCAGACATTACAGATTATTAGATGGTGGAGGCAACCGGTTCATACATCCATAAGTGAAAAGGGGTGGCACTATTCATGGGTACCATTGATGGATGGAACACTGGGTGTACTAATTTGTGTACATAATCTCTTTTACTTCTCACATCAATCCTGAGTTACCGCCTTCCAGTTTGATAGATGAGAAGGCAGGTTTAAAAAGATTTAAGTTACTTGTCCTAAGATCACAAGGCTGAAATAGAGCTTAGATTAGAATCTAGATCTCTCTGACTAAAACTGGCTGGTAACTACCAGGTTATCCGCTTTTTCCTGGGGATAGTCAGAAACGGCTATAAGAGGGGGTAAATTTTGAACACAATGGCAATACCTTGTGGTCTGAAAGGAAGTAGGTTTCTTCCCTTAAAATAGAGGCGAAGCCTGGGAAGCAAGAGAACTCGAATGGTTCTTAGTTTGCTGAAAGTAAAAGAATGATCCAAGATTCTGATTTATGTTCAAGTGAATGAATGGGGCATCCACGTGACAACTTGGGATGGTTCCGAAACTTCTCCACAACTTCCTTGACTCTCTTGCCTATGTGTTGTTCCCCTTAGGTCAGGAGCACCTCTCAGCTGTTGAGCCGATCACTGTCTGCAGTGGTGCTAAAACCACCCGAGACACTGACAGATGAGGCACCTTATAAGGTCAGAGTGGGCCTGTGGTTTTCGGGGTGAAGGGTGAAAAGGGCTACCTGCCAGCGCCAGTAGGGGGAGTGCTGAGGACAATCATCACAGACAAAGTTAGTGAAGGAATGGGACCACTGACTTTAGGTGAAGGTGGAGGACAGTTGATACCACATACGATTAGTGTTCCAGCTTTTGCTGCTGGCAGCACATGCTCATTTGTGTTGCTGCTAACTACCATTACCTGACCTAATTTACTGACTTCAGCTGGTGGCATTTGGGCCCGATGATTTCAGGGCACCAAGAACAGGCTGCAGCTTACGTCTTACCCTTCTAGACCATACCTGAATCTTAAAGGTATTTGATGTCCACCTCTTGCATCAAAAAGTTCTGCTTGGCAACATTTTAGGGGATTTTCCAGGGAATAAAAAGTCATAGAATGTCATAGCGTAAAGGGTTTAAATGGTACAAAGTTACCAAAGCAAAAAAGGGGATTTCTTAAAATCTTTATTTTTTACTGGCATCTTCTTCACAGGGCCTCAGCATCTTGGCAGCCCCACGTCCCCTGACCTCACTTATTCCTAGCCGAAGCTTCCAAACCAGTGCCATTTCAAGGGACATCGATACAGCAGCCAAGTTCATTGGGGCTGGGGCTGCCACAGTAGGGGTGGCTGGCTCTGGGGCTGGAATTGGGACTGTGTTTGGGAGCCTCATCATTGGTTATGCCAGGTAAGATGGGCCCTCCATTGGCTCTCATATGTTTCCAGAGGTCTGGGCAGAAATACCTGGGGATCTTGAGGCATACCATCCCATATAGTAGCCACGTGTGGTTATTTGAATTTAAATTTTTACTAACTAGTGATTCCTGGTTGGCTTAGTTGATAGGGCTTGTGGCTCTTGGTGTCACGAGTTCGAGCCCCATGTTGGATTTAGAGATTATTTAAAATAAATATTTAAGTAACTAACAGTACATAAAGTTTAAATTTTGTGTATTTATAATGTGGCTAGGTAGCCACATGTGTCCAGTGGCTACCATATCGGAAAATTCCATTCAAAAGCTTTGGTTTAGAGCAGAAGTCAGCAAACCAAAGGGGGAGGGCCATACCTGGGCCACCCCTTGGTCTTTGTATAGCTGCGCTAAAAATGGATCTTAATCCTTAAAGTGTCATGAAAAAAGGGGGGGCAACAGAAACCATATGTGACCCACAACAGCTACAATATTTGCTGTCTGGCTCTTTACAGAGAAAGTTTGCTACCACTGGTCTAGCGCCTCAAGTCAGCATGGTGGCTTGGTTGCTGCTTTTCCCCTATCCCTGGGAGTTCCCTCCCACCCCATCACTCCTGGGAAAACTGCCTTTGCAATCAGCCCCACAGCTTTCTGACACTGGGGATTATTTGGTCTCCACCAACTCTGGGCAACTCACGTTAAAACTAAATTGATCCTCTAGAGACCTGCAAGTTCTCTTAATGCCTTTGAGGAAATAGGTTTGTTTTTTAGGATTTACATGAAATAAGCCTGACTGCTTCTGTGTTCACAATTCTGTTGGAAGTTGGTGTTACTTTACCTCATTCATTAAGGCTTCCAGAGGGGACCGAGTAAGGGAAATAGAAATTATATATTGACTTCCAAAATTGGGAGTTTTTTATCCCATTTTGTTTCTAAACCCCACAGACCATTTGTAGCTTCTTAAAGCCCCAGATCTTTGGCTACTTTGGAATGAAAGAAAGTAGTTTGTCCCCCTGGCTCTCTTGTCCTCTAGAATGGGGTTTTTCTAGTTGGGTTCCATAAAGCCCTAGGGTTTTGAAGTATGCCCAGAGACCGTCTTAAAGAATGAAGGGGAGACCAGTCAAGCCTTTAGAATCCCCGACTTTTTTACCATTGTGATTTGGTTTTTACACATTTTGTATTTTGGGGTTCTGCTACTTCCAGTTTCAAAACACAGACTCTGTCACTGTGGATACCTCTTCCATTCTGGTTGGGCCCTAGGTAGTTAAATGTCCAGGCCCGGAGGTCTTACGTTATGCTATGGGTGATCCACTGGAGGAGAAGGTAATGGGTCTTGTTACAGAATTTTGGATTGTCCGCTGCCGTCATTCAGTCTCTGTAGAGCCCTTGATATATCAGGCAAGAATTGGGGCATGATGGCGTCACCCCGAGACACTCATTGCCTAAGATGGGCTTGAGGAGATGAGTTTTCCCTGAGCCCACCTTTGGTGTTTGTCTTTTTCTTTGTGTGGACTAGAAATTCAGTCTTTTCTCCTCCCCTTCTCCCAGGAATCCCTCTCTGAAGCAACAGCTCTTCTCCTACGCCATTCTGGGCTTTGCCCTCTCGGAGGCCATGGGGCTCTTTTGCCTGATGGTGGCCTTTCTCATCCTCTTCGCCATGTGAAGGAGCCGTCTCCACCTCCCATAGGTCTTTCTCCCGTGTCTCGTCTGCCCTGTATAATCCTTTTCCTATACCTCCCCAGGCAGCCTGGGGAAAGTGGTTGGCTCAGGGTTTGACAGAGGGAAGACAAATAAATACTGTATTAATAAGAGCTTTCTTGTGTCTCCTGTGTATATTTGTTCTCCACGGTTGGCTGAGTGCCTTGGTGAAAGTATAAGGCCTGGTGGGTGGTGACAGTTCTAAACTCAGCATGAGTCTGAGGTCACTTGTTCTTCATGCTCTGTGTCAGGAAAGCTTTATTCAAATTAGCAGTCGTTTTTAATAATTTTCACCTGGGATGGCCTGTTACCTTGGAGGATTGAGTCCATAGAAACGAACAGGACTGGCTTAAAATTTTGACGAATGGCTATTTTCCCTGCTACTCTCCTGGCTCAGGCCTTCATTGCCGCCCACTTGGCCTACTGCAATAACCTTTTAACAGGCCTTGCCTCCAGTCTCTTCCCTCTAGCATTTACTTCTATCTACCACTACCAGATTAATGCTTAAGTATGAGATAAGTTTTGTCATTTACCAATTCAAACACAGTCTGACCTCAGCTTTCTCAGATTTTATCTTTTATTGTTCCCATACACTCTACCCAAAGTGGTATTGTCATTTTTCAAATACTTTCCCTCTTTCCTGTCCTTATCTTCAGGCCTTGCCCTTTGGCCATCTCTGCTTTCTTTTTCTGAATCTTTGCACACTTTCCTTTTTTGCAAACTCCCTCTTATCTTTAAAGACTGAGTTAGGGGCTCCTGGGTGGCTGAGTCCGTTAAACAGCTGCCTTCAGCTCAGGTCATGATCTCAGGGTCCTGGGATTGAGCCCCACGTCAGGCTTCTTGCCCAGCAGGGAGTCTGCTTCTCCCTCTGCCCTTACCCCTGCTCATGCTCTCACTGTCTCACTCTCTCTCTCAAATAAATATTTTCTAAAAAAAAGTTTAAATGCTACCTCTTCATTACGAAGCTTTCATCTGTTTTCCATCTACCACCAGCCAAATGAGCATTAACCAAAATAAAGGACTATAGAGTATGTTGTATCCTTTATAATGCTTATGGTCTATGATAAACTGTGGATTTGTATGCACATACATGTTTTTTATCTTCCAAGTTAGACTCAGTTCCTTGAAGGGACTATGTCACGTTCATTTTTGTATCTCTAGAAGTATCTAAATGATGCATCTCAGCAATATCTTTGTCAGTCTTTTTATTTAATTATCTAAACCACCCACCTTCACAAATGAGGAAACCAAGAGTTTGAAAAGTCAGAGGATTTCCTCAGAAACACTGACTAGTCGAGCTGGAGCTAGAGTAAGGATCATGTCTTGTAGCCAGGGTGTAAGAATACCATACTGCTGGGGCACTTGGTTGGCTCAGTGGGTTGGGGCCTCTGCCTTTGGCTCAGGTCATGATCCCAGGACCCTGGGATCGAGCCCCGAATCGGGCTCTCTACTTGGCGGGGAGCCTGCTTCCTCCTCTCTCTCTGCCTGCCTCTCTGCCTACTTGTGATCTCTGTCTGTCCGATAAAAAAATAAAATCTTTAAAAAAAAAGAACACCATACTGCTGGTCTTGTGGGACTCTCCCCAAGCCATGTTGCCAGTGACTTATCCCAAGCAAGAGGAAAGGGTAGAATAAGCAAAGATAAACCTTTTCCCTTAAAAATTCCTGAAGAGGGGGGCACCTGGGTGGCTCAGTGGGTTAAGCCGCTGCCTTCGGCTCAGGTCATGATCTCAGGGTCCTGGGATCGAGTCCCGCATCGGGCTCTCTGCTCAGCAGGGAGCCTGCTTCCCTCTCTCTCTCTCTCTCTCTCTCTGCCTGCCTCTCTGCCTACTTGTGATCTGTCCCTGTCAAATAAATAAATAAAATCTTAAAAAAAAAAAACTTTAAAAAAAAAAAATTCCTGAAGAGGGACTTTGGACAGTGGGGTTAATATAAAAGTGAAGAATTAGATTTTCTAATGGCTAGATACACTTAAAATAAGCCTTATCCTACACATGCTTGAAGTAACTGGGTTAAAGTCCTCACCTGATAATGTGAATGACCACAACACAAAAGTTTTTCTTTTGATTTAATTGACTATAAAGTTAAAGCCCAGTGCAGACTTAACTCCAGAGTAAACTGATCCTCAGGAAGCAGGTCACCCAAAATCGTTCACCCCTGTCCTTGTGCTATTGTGACCAAGGGTTGAGAGGGATCCTATCCACAGCTTGCTTCCAGATTGCTATACTAGCCCCAACTAAGTGTATTCTGGGCCATAGGGCTCCAAGTGGAGCTTTCACTAGAATAGCTCCTCCAGCTCAGAGTGGGTGGAAGGTATGTACATATTTTGAGAGAGGGAACAGACTCTATTCCTCGACTATGGTCTCTTAGATTTGTATCTCTAGTAGGGCCTCTGCTGCCCATCCCCTTTCCGAGTCATCAGGTATCTGTTTTTTTTCTCTTCTTGGCCCTTTCTTTGGGATTGATTCTAGCTAACCCCTTATCAACTTAGGTGCTCGGGGAGAGCACAGCTTAGTGGCCCACGTGTTTTTGTTCTCTCTGAGGTAAATGATGAGCTGGTGCTGCAAGGAGCTTGGAAGCAACTTTGGGAGGAGTCCAGGCAACCTCTTCGTTTCAAGCCCCAGGAGATAGTTACTGGCAACCCAGGTTGCTAACAACTTGGGAAGAGCAGTGCTATGTTTTAGTAGAGGGTCCAAGAGCAAATTTTCTGAAGAGCTTTCCCACTTTGATAATATGTAATGAAAGCTTTCTACTGTCCTTGTAGTTTTAGAAAGAGACCATGTTTGAAGTCAGATTTTTTTTTTTTTAAGTTGAGCTGACCTCAATGTTAACATTAGTTTCAGATGTATCAGGAGATGTTCTAATATCTCTTCCACCACTGGCCACTGTGATATTGGGCAGATCACTGACCAGTAACCTTCTAGGCCCTCTGTTTGTCCCCATCTACTAAATAGGAATAATGTTCATCCCAGGAATTAATGTGCATACATACAGAGGCCCGTTGAGTATTTGGAAAGGATGGTGCCATCAAAGTTCAATATATTGATTATAATTTGCTTTCTCATTCACAGAGCTCACAGCATATTATAGCCATTTTGTAGATGGCTTCTCCCTTTTTTATGATTGGTATGGAAAAGGGAACTAACCATCCAAAATTTATAAATTCTAGCCATAAAACACGTGAGAGAGAACCCAAGGATGCTGAAGGCAGCGAGGCTTGCTTCCCTCCACTCCTGTTTTTTCAAAAGTCCGTTGTGTTTCTTCAGAACCAGGGGAGGAGTGCCGTTCTAATTAGAGGAAAATGATGTCCTTTGGAAATAATCTAAATGTTAAACAGCAGTAATGAGTAACCCTGTTCCAGGCTCCCTTTCAGGATAGATCTATTAGTTTGAGGCTTTCTCAGGTCATCCAGATGAGAAATATGTTTAGGAACAACACTGGTGATTTAGCTTAAGTTGGTGTCCTGGCTCTTAGAGGTTGCTCTGTGTCTTTACATCCTTTCAAGAGAAATGAGATGAAGGAATATTCAAGTCAAATTCTGAAATAGAAAAGGGAAGAGGATAGCATCACACTGGTAAGTAGAGGATATTGTCCTCATCCTCTAAGTTGTGAGCAATGAAACTGTCTTTATTGAGTCGTATCTAAAATTATCATGCATCTTCCAACATGTATTCTTAGGACACACTCTTGGACAGCTTGGTGTTCTCACTGTTTGATGAGGAAAACTTAAAACACAAGAAGATTTTTTAGTCCCCAGGCATTCCTTAAAATGTTTTTAGTTTTGAAACATTCATCTCAAGGCAGTGTGAGTGTTAGTAAGTACATTGTGATCAAACTAGCTACTGTAGAAATGGCAGAAGACATGATGGATAGAATACCAGGATGAGGTCAGGCCTCTCATCTCAAATGCTTGGCTTCTCTTACTGTAATAAGTGTAAATGGTTACTTAGAGATAGTTTGTTCCCGGTTCCTTCCTCCCCTTACCCCATAAGAGATCCTTTCATCTTTTAAATAAGTGTGGTGGTAGGCAGAATTTTTTAAATGACTCCCCTAAATGTGTCCTACTCTAATCCCCAGAACCTATGGATTTGATGGGATATGATGGGTGTGATTTTGTTATATTACATGGCACAGTTGACAAGATAGGGAGATTATCTGTGAGGGCCCGATCTAATCCCATGAGCCCTTAAAAGCAAAGAGCTTTCTCAGGGTGGTGGCAGAAAGATAAATGAGAGATTTGAAAGAAGGATTCAGTGTTCCATTGCTGGCTTTGGAGATGTAGGGGACCAGATACAAGGGCTGGAAAGTGGCCTCTGAGAGCCAAAATTGACCCCCTAAACAGCAACCAGCAAGGAAATGAGGACCTAAGTCCTGCAACTGCAAGGAACTGAATTCTCCCAATGGCCTGAATGAGCTTGGAAGTGAATTCTTCCTCAGAACCTCTAAATAAAATTCTAGCCCGCAGGGCGCCTGGGTGGTTCAGTCAGTTAAGCATCCAACCCTTGATACCAGCTCAGGTCTCGATCTCCGGGTCATGAGTTCAAGCCCTACATTGGGCTCCGTGCTGAATGTGGAGCCTACATAAGGGGGAAAAAAAAGATTCTAGCCCAGTCAACACCTGCCTTGACTTTGGCTTTGTGAGATCCTAAGCAGAGAACACAAGTTTCCCGGATTTATGATACAGAATAGAAGGTGATAAATGGGTGTTGTTTTAAACCACTAAGTTTGTAATAATTTATTATGTAGTGTAGAAAGTTTATACAACGTTTCAATCTGCAAAAGAAGTAACATTTCATCTGACTCTTAATGCTGAAAAGGAACTCTAGAAGTTGACTTATCTGGCCCTCTGCCTCTTAACTTCATTGAATCTAATGTAGCTCAGGGAAGGCTAAAGAAGGAAAGACCTTTAAACAAAAATTATATGGCATAATATTTTACTATAGCTATTTAATTTGTACAAAGTAGATATATTTTCTTGTTTTAACAGATGAAAAAAACTAAGCCTCAGATTCAAGAGTGATGCCTTGTCCTTAAGGTTATCTAGGTAGGAAGTGATAAAACCAAATAGAAACCCACAACCAAAGTTGCTTGCATTCTATCACATCACAAGGTGT